GTCGCGTTTTGGTTACTTTTACATGAATGATGAACTTTCTGTCTCTCTCACTTCTTAAGGTCTCTAATTAAACGTGTTTTAAGTTTTTCCACTCATGGCCAAAAAAACTAATCTACAGGATTAGAAGACAACAAAACACCAACGACCGGGATTTTTTAAGTAGAAAAAAACCAGTTCCGCATAACGAAAAAACCCACATCTATAAAAGCCTTCAAGCGAAACTAAGAATAAAACTGAAAAGTAGAACGAATGATACAATCAGGATTATTAGTTAATTCGTAATTCGGAAGCGTCCTCTATTTATCGCAACAGAATAAGCTGAGCGGCTTGTCCAACTAACGGCTTCCATTTTTTGCTCTTTTTCGAAAAGTTATTGCAATAAAGCTACAAACTAATCGTAAATTATAACTAGATAATTCAGCAGATTAAACATTTCTCTACAAAATGAAAAGTGTCTCGGCTCCGAACGTTGATTTGTTATGAAAATACAGCTGTTGTACAAACAACCCCAAAAATCGATGTTGAGGCTATCTAAAAAGCGTATCTAAAAGAGTGAAGACGAGTCGGCAAAAATTGAACAAGTATCATATACACACTTTCACAACACGAACAGTTCTGACCGATATATTTCTTTGCCGATCCGGTTCCAACTCTGACTTGACCTCGTCTTATGAAGATCTTTGATGAAACAGACGATAACTTTGTAAAGTTTTTTTTATAGAAGTACTGTGCCTGTGAGTAGCAGATGGCGATTCGATTGGTTGAAAAGGCCAACGGAGAGGTATGTGGATGCTATCGTCAAGAAATTCATCATTTCGAGAAACAGTTCTACTGTGCCGTATCCTTGAATAAATCAATGTTCTCCTTCTAGTTGGTATTGCCATTCTCTCGTCGGCCGTCAGGTATCGATCCGGAAACGTTCGACGAAGAAAACCGCGGTTGTCTTTACTTAAGAATCAAGGAACAGGACATACACGTTATACCTCCTCATTTACCTCCCTCCTTTGTTTTTAAATAAAAAGATTCGGTAGTGTTTCATTCTATTTGGTTTCCGTTCACCGTGAAAAACAGCGATTGGCCTATGACGAACGACTTATTGACTTTCATCCGTTAGAGATGTAGCGGAAAGGTCGTGGAGGTAAACACTTGCTCCATTTGGACGCCGTGAGGTCCTCGACTATCTCAGTTCGAACAGAAGCCATTACGTCATTCTTGTTCTTCTCTGAAAATTCTTTCTTTTGAATACCTTGTATATCCAAAAATACACTAAACCCTCTGAACACTGATGGACCAAAGCAGCCAAAACATCAGCTGCTAACTAGGAATGATGTTTCTGAGAGATTAAACAGCGGTGTTAGACAGTAAACCGGTCATGGTAGCTCGAATGTGCGCGAAACAATTGATTCTTCGAACGAAACGACCACAACTGCACATGAGGGGTGCAGAGAAAGGACAATGTGGTTGTTGAACGCACCAGTCATCTGATGAGACCCTTGAGCCAGGTCGAAACCGGTGAATACTCTTCTTTTTCAAAAAACGACTCGTTTTCGAAGAGCGACAACAAAGAGGAATTCGGATCAGGCGAGTGGCTATGATGCCAAACCAAGAACAATCCGAGATTCTTACTTGCTCCATCCGCGCAACATCTCTTTCGATACCATCCACAAGATTCTTAACGTACATTCAAAGGAGTAAAGTCCTCTTGCAGCAACAAGAGTTCAGATGAGTGAACCGAAATCACAACTGTCCTGGAACATTCTGGCTCTTACATGAATATCAGAATATGTAGCATATATTGTATGCTAGAGAGAAAATTGGATAGTTTAACGGTAGAATATCCGACCGGTTATCGGAAGATGCAGGTTCGATTCCTACTCTGGTTTTGTGATCTTTCTTAACAAGTCTTTCGTACTTGGTAAGACATATTCATGTGGTTGCGTTCATCGGAGAGAATGTTTACCCGTGGATTAGTGATATGATTGCTTATCTTTGAATTCTTTTATTCAAAAATTCTAACTCACCCTCAAACAAACAAACAAATATCAGAACTGTATTCGATTGTCCTGTTGTCTCAATCGTTGCTCAACTTCCGACGAAATGTTGTTCGCGCCAAGCGACAATTTCTGGAGTATCTGTATGAAAAAGTGCAGATGGTAATGAGAAAGATGAGTAGAGAATGCGGTTCACCGTATTGTTTTGTAAAGCATTGGCGAGATGTTGCGCCCTTTGGTCTCCGATTTGATTGTTGTAAAGATCGAGACTTTTGAGTTTCTGTGTGAAAAAGTACAGATGGTAATGAGAGAGGTGAGTAGAGAATGCAGTTCACCGTATTGTTTTGTAAAGCATTGGCGAGATGTTGTGCCCCTTGACCCCCGATATGATTGTTTCGAAGGGAGAGTGTGGTAAGTGTCTGTGTGAAAGAGTACAAATGCTAATGAGAGAGAGATGAGTAGAGAATGCAGTTCACTGTGTTGTTGTGTAAAGCATTGGCGAGATGTTGTGCCTCTTGGTCTCCGATCTGATTGTATCCAAGATCGAGTTTTGCGAGTGTCTGTGTGAAAAAGCGCAAATGGCAATGAGAGAAATGAGTAGAGAAATGCGGTTCACTATGTTGTTATTTAAAGCATTGATGAAATGCCGCTATTCGTTATGGGATACACGAACAATGACGTAACGCTCAAAGCGGTAGGCAGAAGTTCAGTACTGAAATACTGACGAGAAAAACGTCAGTACTTGAAACATTCCTGGATATCAGTACTGGTTCAGTATTTTCAAAGAAACGGCTCAGGATCGGTGAGAAACATAGCATTAGTCTAGCATGTCGTCATGAATTTCTGAAGGGAATGCGGTGACGTTCATCGCGGTAAAACGTTGTTTTGGCTCCACAGAAGGTTTTTCATATTCGTGGCCTCATGTATTTTTTACTAAGATGGAATCTGAATACTCGAACAGCACTTTAGTTACGGGCCCGACATTAACTGGACGTAAAATAGATGAATCTGACATTACATCCTATTTGTTATCCATCAATAATTAAACTGTACCAGTACTGTAATACTGATGACAAAGAATTCAACGCTGGTGATATTACTGTATATCAGTACTGAACCAGTACTGGAAAGTCAGTACGTGCTCTAGGGAACATGCACGTATACTAGAAAAGGCAACCATTCACGCGCAGCGCGAGTGTCTATTCTCCCCCTGTTCTCTTCCTCGTATCCTTTCGTTGATGAGAAAAGCTCTCAAATCCTACTGTGATGAATCCAGGTAAACAATTTTTGACGAGAAATTTTTATGTGATCGGCTTTTCTTGACGAATTGCTGATTCCTGTTAAAAACGTGTACCTGTGAAATTTCAAAGATCTAAAAATTTGAAACGGGAAAATTTTATGAGGACGTACTAGACAGAGCTTTAATCTCAGTAGAAAACGGCTTAAATTTAAAAGCGACAGAAAAAGTAAACTTCCAAGGTTTTTCAGTTGAAACAAAAGATATTCTTGACTTTCATGCAAAAACTTCATCTAAGTCGTGGATTTCCAGCAGAATGTAATCGGTTATCTGATTCTCACGTGAAATTTCAAATATTCATACGGATGTCAATAGAATTTTTCTGATAAAAAAGATCAGAGCTGAGTAGCTCCGATTCCAAACACTTTTTCTTTTTTTCTTGGTTTTTGAGTCGTAAAAAAACGTAACGTAATTCTCAAAATCGTACCAAATCAAACGAACCTGTGTCGCATTGTTAATCCGCTCATTAGAGTTCGAGTCTATCGTTATCGAATGCAAAATAGATAAAATCACTCAGTTTTGAACAAAGATGGATAGGCGCAGTTAAATTTCTATCAATTTATAACACTAGATAGAAATAGTGTTCAAAAACAAAGATTTCACTTCAATTTGACTGTACCCTAATATTTAGTTTAAACTCAAACCAAAACTGTTTCTGAGGTAAAACCGTTTGACTACGTTAGTGAAGAAACTCTAGTGCTGACTTCGTATTTCGTAACCACTATTTTCAAGTAGCTTTATCAACATTTCAGGTTAACGGTCAGCACCTTCATCGATATGGAGTCTAAACTGGTATATTGAAAGTAAGTTTTCTCTTACCTTATTGTTTCGCAATTCATTGGCCACAATTTCCATATCTTGACCCGTTAAACGCGAGCTCTGTAAATTGAGCGATGCGTTTGTAATCGCACGTTTAATTAAATCTATAGTGTCAGATGCCATGTCTCAATAAATCTGCGATAGGGCAAGTGATCCCAAGCCTAAAAATGAGAACGATGTAAGTTCATCTGTTATCTATTATGACTGCTGTTCGAAGCTGTCTGTGATATCGAGTCGCGACGAAGACATTTTTCGTTCCAGTAATTCGAGACCAATGCTCGTGTGTGACTTCAACTCACGTAGACTCGATTTCATGCAGCTTGTCTATAATACATATAGGAAAGGGGAAAGGGGACCCTTAATACGTTTCTTTTTATGTTTCAAAAATTGTTCACCTGGATTCATCACAGTAGGATTTGAGAGGTTAACCTGGTTGGTACTAAGTTTTCTCATCAACGAAAGGACACGAGGAAGAGAATAGGGAAGAACAGATATAGATAGAATAATAGAATTTTTACAATTTCTAAGAACTGAGGTTATTAATGAGTCTGATTACTTTGTGAAAAGGATATAACCAATTCCATATCGCGATTTTTACCTGAATACCGCCGGTTACCGCCTGGTCAGCTTAAAACCGTCGGTTTACCAAATCGTTGTTTTACTAGCCAGTATACCGACGGTTTTTTCATATCGCTATGGTATCCAAGTACCTACAGGTTAACCAACACAATTCATTCACTCTTTTTGTTTTGACGAGAGCACATGTATATAATGAACACAATAATTTGCAGCAGCAAGCTTTATTTTTTTTCAGATTAAAGCATTTCAAACCAAAATGAAGTTAAATGGAAATTGAAGAAAGTGTTAGTGCCCTACGTGACTGGAAGCTGCTATCAATCCCATGCTGGTGATTTAAGATAAATAATATGTCTATTTGTCTCACTGTGATATTCATACCGAACAAAATGAAAGCAGCGGCCGGGACCAATGGTAAACTCTTCTTCATTGGGAAAAGCAGAGATAGATGATACATCTATGCCACATCTAACGTTTCTATTCGCAAAATAAGAATCTTTCACATCCAAATCGAATACCAACAGGGTGTTACCAAACCGCTCAGCTTTTTTTTGGTTTCTGCTGGTCGATGTGAATGACATGAATTTGATAAAGGCAGGGTATTGTTTCATAATCTCTTCCCGTTCTGCATCAGTGAGCGTGAGACCTCGATAAACGGTAAATTTAGCTTCGTGTCTATTCTGCTCCATATACAAATCAAGTAATAGGCAGAATGGTCCCAGGGTCTTTACTTGCTCAAGTGTCGCCGTTTGATGATTACGAAGAACAGCGTTTAGCAGTTTATACCAAAAAGATTCTTTTGTGTACAGATAAATACACGTTACGCCGATTGGATCTGGAATGAAGTTAATATATATAGCCGCTTTTTTGTCTTCACCAAACTGTTTAACGAGACGTAACTGCTGAGCTAGCCACTGTGCCTCATTTAGTTTACTAAGTTTTGCGCCTTCGTTGAGAATTCCAGCAGCAGCCTCTTCGACAATATCGGCAAGAGATTTGTCATTGTTGTCTTCCAGTTCTAGGTCTTTGTAAGTAAGAGAGAGGCGACGATATCCTGTCTTTAGCTCGTAAAGGGGATCCTTTTCGTCATCTTCAGTATCACTTGTCGTCGTCGTCGAGGCATCATCTGTATTAGTAGCCAAGATGACAGGAAATGCAAATCTTTCTTCCCTCAAATGAACGTCAGTACGATCCGTTGCAAGCTGCACACGTTTAATTGGACGTTGTCTGTTCTTGTCAGCCTTGTAATATTGCATTAGATTCTTGAGATTAACGAAGTAGTCACCATCGAGTTCTGCCTCCTCTCTTTTATCGCTGAGCGCATCTTCAATGATCTCATTTTCCACGTCCGTATACTTTTGCCAGTCCTCCTCACTGTTAGTTGAAGACCAGGGATTAGCCGATGAGTTCCAATACCACTGAAAATTGCGTGGACGAAGAAAAACTGGCTCGGCGGCGACTGCAGAAGCAGAGGCCATTTTTGTTATTTATTTCAAAAGGTAAAGTGAGTGTTTTCTTTTGAATGAGTGAATTTCTTTCTGTTTATACAGTATAATGTGAGTGTAATTGCGCAACATGAAGAAAGCGTTCTGTTCGACAGCAAAAAAAAATTCTACTTTCTTTTTCCTCAACATAAAGAAAACTTCGTTTAGAGAATAACCCCCCCCTCATAATAGAAGACCATCCCCTATTAGAAGACCACTGCCGATTATATGACTTGAAAGCCAAATAGAAGACCATGGTCTTCTAACTCCTAGAAGACCAGTGGTCTTCTATTATGTCCGCGAAAAAAATCGGAAAATGCCCTATACCTATAATGAGTCGACCTCTAGGACTGATTCTGTTGGTCGAAAACCGCTTTCTCTCCACCGCAGGAAGAGTCTTCCAACCATTAAATGCCCGGCTGTCCATAAAATACCTATCGGTCAAGTAATTATTCAATAGATAAGCAGAACGATAGATGGCGCTGTGCATGACTGAAAAACATCAGAGTGATGGATTGGCGCACACACACATTTGAACATTGTTTGACGGCGGACATACACAGACGTTTGAACACGGTGTGGAGGACGTACATACACACATATTGTGGTAGTCCGCTAAAGAACACCGAGCGGAGGGCGGTGTGAAGGTTGTCTTTAATTCAAAGTCATCAAAGATCGTTCGCAGATAGAAGTTCCTAAAGTCACCTTGCATATATATGCAGGGAGTGATCAACAGTGTGAAAAGCTGTCACGTTGTAAACGAGCGTTATTTCTCAAGCAAAAGCGACCCAATTTTTTGGGTTATTTATCTAGATTCAGGTCCACGTGCATCCAGATGAACGTGGAGCTGAATCTGGATAAATAATCCCAAAAACTGGGTCGGTTTTGCTTCGGTTACAACCGATAGTACAACGAAAACTAGGCCACCGGCTGAACCAGAGATGTCAGAATATCTATTCTCAAAAAGACACTATTTGCTGGGCTAGGTGTATTCTCACTGACAATACACGAAAATATACCAGAATACGCAAATATTGACAATACATAATATAGTGTCGCGATCGGAGGGGCGGGGCAGATGCAGCATGAGAGTGAGTCACTATCCATTATTTGGGTATTGTCAGTGAGAATACACCAAGCCCAGCACATTTTATAGAAATTTATATATTTGCGTATTCTGGTATATTCTCGTGTATTGTCAGTGAGAATGCACCAAGCCCAGGAAGTTTGAAAAAAACAGTCTCTGTTTGAGAATACACTGCGTAGTGATATTCTGACACCCCTCGGCTGAACAGCTCCGAGCGTTAAGTGGAGATTCAGCGGGCCACTGAGCGTTACTTGGCTCAACGTGATAGGATGAAAATGATAGTCCCTTGACTGTAAAGGAAACAGCCTATCAAGTTGAATTGTACGGAGATTGATAAATTCTGTTGGAGTATCTATGTATGATTCAGGACAGGTTAGAACTTCCGGTTAGTAATTACGTGAGCAAAGGAAGCAACACGCCAGTGAGGTTTGTAGTGAAAATAATTCCAGCTCATCGTAAGCGATCATTAGGAAAAAACTGCTTCATTCAGATGAAAGGAACCATCGAAAATTACATTCGCTCCTGTGACAAGTGTGTGAAATTCAATATCCGTCGAACAAAACCACCTAGCTAATTACAACCCATCGCATATATCACAAGGGGCTTTGGAACTCGTGGGCACGGATTTTGGGAGACTCATATCACAATATTCAACGGGCAGCAACAAATACGTATTTGTCGTCACCGATTATTACTCCAAGTATATAGTCGCTCACGGTGGCTACAACAGCAAAACGTTTTGTCGAACAATTTGTGTTTAAATATGTTGTACCACGGTGCCTCGATCAAGAAGTCCACTTCAACAACGAGTTAATGAACCATATTACCATGTTATCGGGAACGAGTCACGTCAAATCGACACCATATCATCCAATAATAAATGGTCTCGTAGAACACTTCAATGTAATATTTCATCCGCGATTATCAAAGTTATACGATGAAAACTTGAACAACTGAAATGACTATTTGCCAGCGCTAATCTATGCCTACAGTATGGGTTAACACCGCAGTACTGGATACTCTCCGTTTCAATTGTTGTTTGTTCCACTGCCGGTGTTACCTCTTGATCACCCAAGAACCGCATTCACATTTAATTGACCCAATGATTATTGGGCACGCATGGTCAAATGCATCAACGCTTACGACCAAGCGGCTCGAATACACATCCAGATTCAACAACCACAGGCTAAGGCTCGTTATGATCGGAATCGGGTGATCCACGGTCAAGAATCAACAAATTAGTTTCGTGGAAAAAAGCATCCACGTTACCCGAAAGCACCCGGTTATCGCGGAAAATTCGACGAACAATTCGCTGGTCCACAAGTAGTCATCCACGCACAACATCCATCATATACAATTCAAGATAAAGCATCAAACACGACGAGACAAGTACATGTGAATAATCTCAAGCCTGTCTACGAGCGATATGTTTAACCCACGACTAGGCGATATTACTCACCAGTGAAAACACTCATGATGATGACAGTGCATGAGTTTCATTTGGGCGAAAGAAACAGGCTCAAATGCAAACGTTAGTTCAATGATAATGTTAGTGGCAGTGCTGAAACATTGAACCACAAAAAGACAACTGAGAGCTGAATTTCAATGAATCTGGCAGTTCATCTTCTTTGGTGGGGGGAAGTATTAGGTCACGCGGCCTAAACTGAACGTAGATGTAGCAACGTCATACGTATTGCGTTGTTAATATTACATCATGTTTTTCTGTAACATTCTCTCTTTCTTTCTCGCCTATATAAGGCATATACTGTGGTGGAGGATGTGCTTTTTGCTTTCGCAATAAATCATTTATACATACCTGTCAAGATTCGAACAAGTTAGGTAAAGCCTAACATGTAGTACGATGGACTCTCGTACTATTTTAAGTGCGGTTGACGGCTTGTCCACCTAACGCGACACTTCGCTGATCAAGTTTTGTTTTTATTTTTTCCATCGGGAAATGGATAGACGTAGTTTTTTATGCTGATCACAAATTCGTGCTTTATTTCAATTAAAAAAAAAGAATTTTCAATTAAAAAAACTTAAAGTTAAAATTTTTGAAAACTTTAATTTTAATTTTCTGACCTAGAGATTTTCGTAAAACGATTTTAAAAATATATTATCCAATAGAGAATTCAATTCTCTACAAAATGGCTCATTTTGTTTTGAGAAATATTTCTCGGTCAAGGCAAAAGGGCTGCATGCAAGTTTGAACTTTCGACTCAATTTATTGGCCTAAGACAACTTTTGGAACTTTATTTGCAAGCGGAGTATCTTTAGGAAGGCTAAAAGTGCTCAAGCTATAAGTATGAAATTGTTTGAACAACGTTGAGTGCCCTAAATTGGTGTGACAAAAAATGTGTAACAACGTTACGTTTCTTTTTTGCTTTTTTCACGCTGGTAAAACTAGTTAGAAGAAAACCCTTTTTTACCGCTGAAAAGCTAGTTCAATGCTCTACAAAATTTGCTCTAGCGGTATTTCATTTGGAGAACGACTTTCGCACGAAATTAGAACTTTAGTTTAGTACTCCGAGTTTAGGGTCTTCTTATGTAACAGCGTTATGCAATGATAAAACCAAGCTCGAGACTGCAACCCAAAACCTTCGCTTTTATAGCATAAATAGAGTATGATAAGCTGAGTTGAATGGCGTTCAAACGAACTTTGTAGTTCTCAAACTTTCAAAGATAAATAAAAAAAAGTGTATCAAAAACGAAACAGCGTTACGTTTGGACAACCGTTAACCAGACTCTTTTCTACTATTCGTTACGTCTTGCTAGTCTCATTTGAACCGGGGCCGCTGTCGAACTTGCTGCTAGCCGATAAAATACGGCACAATATTACATGATCATCGGTTGGCATGCCGTTGTTTTTAAAATGAAAGGACAATATTCGTGTGTGACAGCTAGCATCTAAATTTTGAAATGATGGTGTGAATTATCTTGGGGTTCAAATTGTTTGCTTCTAACACAAACTAGTACCTAAACTAAGAATTCTACGTGACTCTCGTTACCTGAATTATTTGTTTGTGCATCATTTCCATGTGTAGATTGAGCTGCTGAGATCTGTCTATGATTCGAAATCGATGATGAAGATCGTGATCATGACATACCAACTGCTTCAAATTGTGTAACCGAGTCAGATAAACGATGTATTGTATTATGAGATGACACACTTGGACTGACACCATCTACAACATGGTTATCATTATCTTCCCCATTCTTGAATATGTCATGGTAGTCGACTTTTGTGATAAATACTAAAATGAACATTACAGCATAGAACTTAATAAGATCTATATGAAAGGCAGTGTGGACAGTTCAAGTGCATAACTTTAGATAAAAATAAATTAAAATAGCAATAGATGAAATCTTGTATGCTTGAATTGTACGCGACGTACAATGTTTGATACAATAGTCAATGTGATTTGTTTTCTGTTATGATGATTGCATTGTATGATCAATTACAGCAGCAGCAGTTAACTTCTCTTTACTGGTTTAGACCAAGCTTTGAAACGAACTTTATGTAAAAGTATTCAAATCTGGTAATACTATATGTTTACATATTAACAATATTTATTAATCACTAGCTGAGGTACCCGGCGTTGCTCGGGAAAATTTGATATTACATACTTGACATATTAGAAAAAGACATAGTTCTGGTCTCCTATCACTTATCGGACTTCGATATCGCAAAATGCGCTCGGATCACTTTCCCTTTTGAACTTTTTTTGTTTTCTTCATTTTCCACTTTTTAAAAACATTTTTATCCTTTTTGATGTTCTTTTTCTTTGATCGGCTTCTTTTATTAAAAAATGACTGTGTCCAATGAAATACAATTTTTATTGCAAAGCTGTTTGATACACAACGTTCCTGGTTTTCGAGCCAGCGGCAAAAATATACAAATTCTTCCCAGTTCCGACTCTTGAACGCGCCACATAAAGTTGGCCATGAGAAAAGCAAGGAGTTTCTCACCCTCCCCCACGTTCACCCTCACCGACCCCATCTCGACCTTCCCCTAAGAGTATGCCATGGAAAATTTGTTGACGCTAGCTCTTACAGGGACCAAATGCATAAAGAACAGACAAACGTTCTTCTTTATATATATAGATACGATGGAATTAAGCTATTACGCATACACCTTTTTTCTTTCTTTGCTTATTGTAAACATGGCATGTGTGGACATACACATAGTAGAAGAAAGTTGACAAATGATTTTCTGTACTATATTAGAGCTCTAGCATTCAAATAGAGATATAAACATTTCTCAGATATATGTCTATTGACATTTGCTTCGCATTTGTCACGTTTTCTTTCTGTGTAAAGGAAAAAGAGAACAGTTAGTGGTAGAACAAAATGCGAGACTATAACTGTTCTCTTTCCTCTTTCTCTTCCTCTTCTACACAGAAAGAAAACGTGACAAATGTGAAGCAGATGTCAATCGACATATATCTGAGAAATATTTATATCTTTATTCGAATGCTAGAGCTCTATTGCTATTGACGTTTTTCGATGACGTAGACAAAGCTGAAAGCAGATTCAAATATTTTTACATAAGGCCCGCTTGTATTTTATGTAAAACTATTCAAATCCAGTAATACTATATGTTTATATACAAGTAACGTTCATCTGCGACTCACTGACCCTTGACTGAAAGTACTTTTTCGGCTAGCGGTTAAAGAGGACGAGAAGAATAAAGATAACAAGAAAAATAAAGAGCACACGAAGAATGAATAGGACTAGAAGTACAAAGAGGACAAGAAGAATAAAATAGACCAGCAGAATAAAGAGGACAAGAACTATAAAGGGGATCAGAGGAATACAGAGGACACGAAGAATATGTTGAACAACAAAGGAAAAAATGATTGCGCATATCTAAAACAAAGGAAACAAAATCCAAACAATACTTCACACATCGAAAACCAGACTCATCTACACATAAACCCTATCCTATCATTCAAAATTGAATAATCAAGTAACTAAACTTTGATCTGAACCAACAATGTCAGTATTTTACAGGCTCAACACAACCCGAAGTAGTTTGGAGAGTTATCACTCTCTACGTAAGAACCCTTGTATTGTTTCGATCTTACAAGAAAAGAAGGTAAGTGCAAGCTGAAACACGCCCCCTTGTAGTTCATTTCAGTTTATTAAACAACAGAGAAAACATGAGAAAAAACGAAAGAAATTAAAAAAAATAATTTTCGTGTTTATCGTTAGTCTCTCCGGCGGTCAACAAAACCATAGCGCCCACAGCAACCAGCATTATAATTGACCGTATTACTACAATTCGTAACACTATCACAACACCTAGAATATTCAACAATAATACAAATAATCAACGAAGTTGCAATATGCTGCAATACCGCATATGCTAGCGAGACATATGAAACATGCGAAGGAAAACATAAATGCCTGATAAACGAATTACTAATCATTCCTCTTCTGGTTCTTCTTTTACATTGTCGTTTTCTTTCCATCGAAGTGCCGTACACCAGCTACTACTGCCAACCCTCCCACACCCCGAATCGCTTTTCTCCGTTCTAAAACACCATAAAATGTATGTACAGAGGAAAACATATTTCAACAGAAAATTTCTCACTTTTCCCGTCGTTCGTCCACCACCGACTCATCATACAACAAACCGGTACGCCGCTGTAGTTGTGCTTGATGTTGCTGCTGATGTTCCTGTTGTTCTTGCAGCATTTGCACATCATGTTCCAACTGCTTCTCTCGCTCCTTTATTCATTCTAGACGATACACTACAACAGAAAATGAATATGCTCGAATGAAATACTACATTCTCGAACATAGTAAATAATTCCTCTTGCATTTCATTCAAGCCAGATATTTTTAACGTGCAGACTGATGCTCCTTCCACGCAGACCCGATATAACCGCTCGAGAAAACCAGACGAAGAAAACAACTCTCCAACTCCACCACGAAAAAAATGATTGATCATATCTAAAACAAAGGAAACCAAATCCAAACAATACTTCACACATCGAAAACTAGTCTCATCTATACATAAACTCTATCCTATCATTCAAAATTGAATAATCAAGTAACTAAACTTTGATCTGAACCAATAATGTCAGTATTTTACAGGCTCAATACAACCCGAATTACTTTTGAGAGTTACCACTTTGTACATAAGAACCCTTGTGTTTGTTTCGATCTTATAAGAAAGAAGGTACGTGCAAGCTGAAACAATCCCGCCTTGTATTCCATTTCAGTTTATTAAACAACATAGAAAACATGAGAAAAAACGAAAGAAATTAAAAAAATAATTTTCTTGTTTATTGAAAAATTCACTAGGAAGACAAAAAAGTTAATAGTCAGCCGATCAGCCGAATCGCCGATAACCTATAGAAGTGTGTGTTTCACACCGAAAGCTTTATCACTTGGGACAGTTCCCTCGTTAATGCAAATTTGAGGCCTCATTGAGGACCCCCTCAGAACTTATCTCCGACACCGTACAGCCGATCTTGAAGAAACTTTCCATAAATGTTAGGCGGTGAGTTACCGGAACGAAAAACTTTTTTTGTCTCCAAGTCTTACGGTTTAGGAGTTTTCCAGAGATCAAGGTCCAAAAAGGGCCCTGAAGTGTGTCCCGAGGCTTTTTAATATATGTCAAGCTAGAGAGTTCGCGTTTGTTTTATTTTAATGCTTAAGGATGTTGCAAAGTGTCCAAGATAGCTACTCGGGTATGTTAAATCGCAAAGCATTTGAATGAACTTTGGCCACCATGCGTACGCCGAACCAGTCGAGTTATCATCTCTTCCAATTGCACTAAAAATTCCGGCTTTCTCCTGTTCCAAATATGAATTCACATCCTGGGTCAGTTTATTGATTAATGACTGAAGATTAGTGTGCATTTGTTTGACCTGTTAAAAAATGAAAGCAATATTTACACTAAGAGTTCGTAACCCGTTATCCAATAAAACCTGCAACCACTCCGAAAAGGGAATCATTCAAGCAGGCTCGCTTTCCATTTTACAGGGCTCTCTGAATTTATATCACCGCAGTTCAATCGACGGCAGAATACTACAGCGATAAGAATGACTCTGGCCTTTGAAAATTGTGACGACCATTGTTCAGGATATCGTTTGTCTGACAGAAAATGTAGACATATTTAACGTTCTCGTTATCGTGAATCTGCGGAACGAGTCTTTCGTCAAACGCATCTGAATAAACTAGAAAGGATAGGATAGCATCTGTTTGCTCAATATACTGCTGACATGCGTCGACATTGTCAAACATTTTTGTGTAATTAACAACTTTTCTCAATTCAGCGACTGTAACTGTGGCTTCAGAATTCTTAGCATTGTTGACATGTGCATCACACGAGACTAACTGATGAGATTCAAGATTCCCTCGTTCACGATCAAAAAATTGTCCACAAGGTGATGTTTCACTTTCTGTGGAGCCTTGGCGCTTATCTAGTGTGATGACTGACCGACTTGTATCATCACGTAGTCATTACGCGTTTAGTCTTAGCTAAACGTACACATTCGTTTTCCCTTCAAAATTGACAGGTTACTTGCGGAATGAAGGCGAAAAAATTAAATAATACTCACAGTTGGCATTTTTTTGTTTCCTAGTTTTGAAGATTTAAGACTCGAATTCAAACTTCAGAACTCGAGCGGTTGAGGCAAAAAAGGAGCAAAGCTTAACGAAGAGAATTTGGAAGGAAAGTGGAAAAAGTCCGGTAACCGACAGAATTATACTGACCTACATTCAAAAGTAAATGAATGTAAATGTACAGCACGTGTTCTGAGTTTTCTCTATCACAAATCATTGAAAACTACAAATAATGTCCTGTCCATAATTTTGATTCACAGTCTTTCAGCACACATATTTTTCTAGAGTAATTTTTGTTTACCGGAGAATGCGAATCGTTTATTTCCTTCGACAGACGAGCGCGCTCGTATTTCAGGAAAGACATTTATACGTGTTAAAGCTGTTCCCAAAGAAGATCGTTCTTCCTGAGACATAAAGAATAAACAAAAAGCATCTTTTCTTTGAGTAAAGAAGTGCTTCCCGGAAAACTAGACAACAACAGAACAACAGAAGCATGGTTTTATCGTTGAGCTCAATATGTAAAGTGTCACAAACAGTGTTCCTCGAAACTAATTTGTTCAAAGCTCACGTATTTTTCTTTGGACTATTGGCAGTAAAATGCGGCACAGATAATACCGTGGGCTGACCAGACCGAAGGAATCAAAAAATGCTTTTCGGAAGAGAATCGCATGTGCGATAACGTTAGTGCATTTTGTATTTTTAACTAAAAATCCACCTTATAAATTCGCGTTTTTTGTGTTTGTGATAATACGATTTACCTGGTTTATACATGTCATTCTAGCATTTGATGATTAAACACCCAAGATTCGACTTCTTTCTTGCAGTCTATCGCGCGAGCTTTATGACTAAAAGCGCGCTTTTTACTTATTTTTCAATTGCAATCACTGCGTGGTGATAATGAGTAAGACGAATCATTGGTGCTCTTTTCTCAAACACGTAATTTTGAACACTTTGGAGATAAAAGTTCGTGTTCATTTGATATTCGACTTCGTCAGAAATCGCGGTCGTTTTTATAAATCTGTGAGCAATGTGATCGATAATATAGTGAAAATGTGGAGAGTAACAAGATAAAGCATATTATATATAAAATCAAAAAACAAAAATAAATACAATGGACTGCAGCATAACATAGCATAACATTCATAACTATCCTCCAGGATCTGGTAGAAACTTTTTTTGATATTCCATTAGGATATATGAACAACGGAACAGGCCGTACAGTGTTATTCAAATTAAGTTTATACCCTAAAATCATTAACGATTCTTTTATAAGTAGGCAATATGGATTAGAATCTATTAATAAAATCTTAAATTTTTCCCAAGTTATGGTGGGATTAGTATCAAGAATGTGTTTGTAAAGAGCTGATTTTAAGTTTGATTTTCGAATTGATGAGCGTTGCGGGGTCGCCTTTATCTCTCCAGTGATCTCGTCAACGTCTTGTCCGCCTAACTGAGTCCTTTTATCAGCTAGTCTAGAAGATCGTCTCAGATTTGATCCGTTTTGATATGGTGAAAATCGCTTTTTTATATTATTTAATTTTTTCTAAGAGTTATGCAATATCGTTGATTGCGGATCATTGTTAGAAAGAGAATTTTAATCGATGATGTTTGATTTAGTTATTCGTTTGAAAAATAAAATTTTTCTTTAAATGTATCTCATTTTTTTTTTAAAATGAATCTCAAAACAGCTGCTGTTACTCTTACGTTTATATTTGAAATTATTGCCCCTCCACAAGTTAAATATTTCTTTCTTAGAAAGATGCTTTTGTAAGGTTTCTCTAAAAGACTCTTGATGGCTTATCGTTTGACGTATTCACCCATTTTGGTTTTCCAGAAGGCAGTGATATATAAGCAACACTGGTGGATCGTTACTGTCGCTACTCCGGTAATGGTAACGATTCAAGCGTTATCAGTAAAGGTTTAACCAAACTTTTCAAGCCAGGTCATGAGTGATTTTTTCGGGAGCAAGTCAAGTCAGGTTGTGACTCATATTTTGTTTTGTCAAGTTAAGTCATTTTTTACAAAAAACTGCACTTTTCACCTGAACTTTTCTGCGCCGAAGCATGCTTTTACCTTTCTAAGAGACGCCTCTCGTATACATTGAGTACATCTAATGCTTTTCTGGTGTTTACATAGTGAAAAACAGAAAATGACTTAACTTGACCTTTACAAATAGTCAAGTCAAGTCAGAGTTGGAACCGTTCTAAAAATAAGAGGCCGGGCCGGGCCGGCCGATTCAAAACAGCAGACCGGACCGACCGGCCCAAAAATCTTTTTAGACCGGTGAAAAACGGCAAAAAGACCGTTTTCAACAAATTTCGAGAACGGTGAAAAACCGGCAAAAAACTGGGCGGTTTAGACGCTTTTATCAGTAAATCAAAATATTTTTAATGAAAAAGTCATTTTCACTAGCTTTTTCATATTTCTGTTA